TGGGAAAAGGGTGGCAATTATTTTGCACACAAGGTGACGCCAGACAACTGAGTTCCTACTCAACTTGACAGTTAGGTATCTGAGTGCTTTATTTGCCACTTTCAATCCTTAGAAGCATGCGTTTAATCCGCCTTTTGGGCTAAATTTTGTTTGCTTAAAATGGAAACCTGGGGATTTGTGAATATTATATTGAGGACGAGGAAATGCCTTCTAAGTATTTGGCGGCCATTACGGCAAACCAGAAATTTCGCTTTGACGGGTTCAACAGGGTGTCCTACTATGGCATTCACACCAGTGACTAGAGGCTCGGCAGTAGCCGGTGTGCAAATCATGTATCGGTCAGTTCGGTCCAGACATCCTTCATTAGGACGAGGCTCCAGACAACAGGAGTAGAGGGAGAGGATGTGTGGCTATGTACCAATTGTCTTGGCAACGCAACCGAAAGCTCAAAAACAGGTCTACAGGGGAGCTCCAGCTCAGTACTGTACAGTGATGGCACCTTCGATCACCTAGCAGAAGTGCCGATATACTCATGTAACAATGCCAATCCGCTTAGCTTACAGTTACAAAGTCAATGTCGGTTTGCTTTCAGCAGGACGCGGTCGAGAGGCTATTATACGCAGATTATTAAAAGTGCCTTCTCTTTTGGACCCCTGAGGCGATTTATCCGAGTTGATAATTCTGTCAACGATGAAGCTACTTTCCGGGTGAGATAGTAAACAGAGTCCTTAACAAATGTATGTGCAATCGGTCAATTGTTTGTTTGGGTCTGGATTTTGATAACTGGTCAACAAAGGCCTCCACCATTGGACCTCCGCCACGCGGCCTGTCCTTGAGGCCATGCCAGTTGCCACAAACCCTACCGTATGTCACCAATCCAAATTCTGCCCCGACATTGTATCGTCTTTTATCTCCAGAAAAGTCTCGAAGACCTGCATTGATGACAGCTGCAAAGGAACCCCATTTTAAAGGGCGCCTCCTCTGATTTCTACTGCTAAATGATAAATCTTAGTGGGGCGAAAGTAGCTTATGGGCTGCGGACAGAAGAATCGGTGACGACCCCTTACGGAAGGTCAGAAAATGATTTCCACCTTCGGTGGCTAATTTCGTCCCCCTGTTCACAGAAAAGTCACTAACAGCTGAAGCCACACTGGTCGTAGACCACATGGAATGGTTAGTTACGAAGCAGTCTATCG